CGATCACGATCACGATCACGATCACGATCACGATCGCGACTTCGGCTTCGGCTACGACGTGGTTTTGGATGACGATCGCCGTCGGCCGCCTCACCATGGCGTCTGCTTGAGGGGCTGTATAGAAATAAAGAGTAAGAAAAAAGTCAACACATAGTTTCGAAAAATAGCATCGAGTACAGCTGTAAAGAAGGAACAGGATCTTGAAACAAAAGTAAACAAAACGTGTGTGAGATAAACCGAGATTAACTCAGCGCAGTTATCTAGCCGAACCAGACTAAAGAACTGAATTCTATGTGTAGTGTACAAGAGGATGAATTCTCTGATAGTTCTCAGTTCCCAGACTCACCCACCTTTCGTCACGTGTGCGTTTGACAAAATCCTCCGCCTCTCCCCAGCCCTCTTGCGCGGTACGCTTGTGATCGTCACACAGTCCTTTTGAACGCAGTTTCGTCTCAAGGTCTTTTTGTACGGGGACAGGAATTCGGGGGAACAACGTTCCATACCATTCTAGCTTTAACAGGAAACTTCTGACCATCTGGCCAATAGTCATGGTACATCCACCACCGGCCTTAGGATCTACCTCCTGAAAAATTGAACACACAGAAAAGAATATTCATTGACGAGTGATCATTGGATAAATGCAGTTTCCTGACGTGACTCGAGGTGAAGAGAAAAACAAATTTTCGACTGTACACTTCGGGCAAGCGTTAGCTATGAAGTACTGGCCCGAAAGTCACTCTCACTGGCCTTCCCAAAATCTTTTACTAGTATGATTGATTAGCTTCAAATTACGCTTATTCAATAATAATTGATGTACTTCTGTAATTGTACTTCACATAAAGGATAGAATCCACTAGCCCCGAGCTTTCGGATATGACTTGCTTTGCACATTGACACTGATCAAAGTTGTTCAATGGGAGTCTGTTACTGTCACACCGCATTAGAAACAATCAGAAGCAACACTCACGACTGTCTGCTTCAGATACCAATTGTATGGAATAGCAATGTGAAAGAATATGGGTTTTCTGGAAGTTGTTTTCAGCGGGTCGACTGTCAGGAAAGTTTAATGGGACCTTTGCAGTTGAAAACAAGAAAGAGCAGAGTTCACATGTCAAACGCCTGGCATCTTGAGGGAAGGTTAAAAACCACATCCCTCGTTATGGAATTTATTTACATAAAATAATTTACATAATTTTACAGGAAAAAAATGACAAAACAAAGTGCCTTGAATATGAATTAGAATGCAAAGCACACAGTAGAGCATATGAACCATAACTACTCAGGTGTCAAGTTAACCTCTTGTAAGGCAGCTCGGTGCAATGCAATATCTGAAGGCCTGCAGTCGGCATGGAAACGGCTGTCATGAGCTGCCTAAGAGAGGTACATTACTGAACAACCTACAAACACATCAAGACTATGTCAACAAGGTGCCTCCAAGAGGTATGATATTGTAACAATGAGAAAAAGCACCAAAAGTCTGATGAAATTCACCACTTTACAGTGTTTTGTACTCCACTTGCATGTCTGAATTGACTGCTCGGTTTTATGCTTAACATTCAGTCCCAAGTTGAAAATGTATTATTCAAGTTCTCATAACCAACTGTCATGGAACCCCTACTTATGTTAGCTATGGGAATTTGGCAGCACGTAAAGATCCTCTTGGTCTTAGCTAATCATTTTTTAATTAATTCTACTCAAATGTCATCAAACCACTAGAAGTTCTCCTTAAATTTGTCAGACCAAGAAAGCAGCCTTGTCACATTTTGGATCTGAGAACCCTTTCTTATCTGGAACAATGTCAACCATATTTTACAATGCTCTCATATCTGAGCTAGTAAAAAGAATACCATGATCAATTCTACAATAGCTAATTTCTTTTTTTGAATAACAGGCTGTAGTTAATTTGTTGTTGGGAACAGGTTGTTTCAAGCCTGAAGCACAGAAATAACAAAAAGAAACAAAATTCTACACCAGAGCATTCTTCAACTTGTTGCCAAATGAAGAAAACAAAGATGCAAAATACCTCAGGTATTTTTGTCTGTTTAATCAAAGTTAACGCAACTGACAACTCACCTCTTCGTCTTCTAAATATGGTTCCATCCATTCCCAGAGTTTGTTAGGAGGTTGACAGTATCTGCAGGGATAATGAAAACAGCACGAAATCGGTAAAAACTTACAGGAAGGACAAAATGGAGGACAAAATGAACTTCACATGAGATGAACTAAATTGCAATTTGAGTCGATCCAAATGGGTAAAGCTCGATCGCCGTGTCAAATGTCGAACTTAATTCAAATTTGGATTGACCAACACATTCTATTTATCTGCTTCAAATGAAGAGTACATGTTGGTAGATCTAAATTGACCTATACGCAGACGACACGACGTTAACCTCCGCTGCTAACTTTGATTCTGTTGGTGTTTTACAAAGTTCACTGACTACAGCAATTTCTGAGGTCAACCAATGGGCAACAGCTAATAAACTTCCTCTTAATGAGAGCAAGACAAAAGTGCTTACCATTACTGGCAAGCGACTTTCTACCAGAATTAACCACGACCTTGCTGTAGTTGTTAATGGAAAACAACTGGAGAATGTTCGTTGTGCAAAGCTTTTGGGACTAGAAATCGACCACGAACTAACATTTATCTCTCTTGTGGAGATATTGAGTAAAAAGCTCTCGCAGCGGATAGGCATTTTAAAGAGAATGAAATATTGTCTACCTCTAAAACACTGACTTATTTTCTATAACACCATGATAAGACCGGTAATTGATTATGTAAATGTGGTTTGGACGAGCTGTGATAAACATTGCCTTAACCGAGTTCTAAAGTTGCAGAAGAGGGCTGCTAGAGTTATTCTAGACGCCGATTGTCAAGCCTCCTCTGTCAAAGTGTTCAATAAACTAAACTGGATACCATTTTTCAAACAGGCTAAACTAACTAAATGCTGTATTATAAACAAGCGTTTACAGGGGCATGTACCAACCTATCTTAAAAGTTTACTTAAGCTTACTAGCGAAACTCATTCATGGCAGACTAGGTATGCCAACTTCAATACTGCTCGCCCTGTTATCAAACGTAAAACTGAAGAAGGAAGAACATTTACTGTGACTGCCTGTCAAGCCTGGAACAGTTTACTGCTATCAATGCAGAAAATAGCGTTGCTTAATTCTTTCAGGAACTCTCTTTGGAAAAAATTTTTTGAAGAACAGCAGCTTTTAAATCATTTTATTCTGTGATTTAGTTACACTTTTTGTACTTTTAATTGATTTCATCTCTTATCTCTTGTATTTTTATTCGTTATATTATCTCATAGTTATGCCATAGTTTTAACATCCATATTGTACATAATTTTTAGAGGGCCACTGGTTTGTTAGTATTTTTATACTATTTTAGTGCTACCCTCTTTGAATAAAGTCTTTACTTACTTACTTACTTACTTATTTATGTACAAGCTCAGTTGAGTCAAATGTAGTACTGCATGTGAAGTTCAACGTTTGACCTGTGCGTAATGTTCCCAATATATGATTAAGTCATCATCCCACTTTACGAGTACTCTCACAGCGATACCCCCTAACTGCCCTCAGCTGTCCCCCATCCCCCAGAAAAAAAGGAGGAGGATGACAGGATTCACCCCCAGGTCTGTTCCATTACATTGTTATTCACTTCACAACAAAAATACTTGACAAATAATCTGTTTCCTTAAGGTCAAAATATGATATCAAAATGTGCAACAATAATTATGAAGCCATGAAAACAATCTCATGCAATAGTCCATGAAAATGGTGTCAAATAAGCTGTTTGTCTAATATTCAATATCACAATCCTACAAAATATGGGAAATAACATTAACTAGCTTTATATAAGTGTACAATATTAAACAAAAAACATTTTTCAGAGAAGGTCACGTACCCACCTAATGAACATGAAGCCCAGTGCTCTAATATAGGGTGAGTCTACATGTGTTATCAAACCATTGAGTTGTTTTCTGGTAAGTTTTAATGTGAACAGCTTATATAAGAGACAAAATGCTGTTGATACAATTCCACCAGCACCAACTCCACGCACCTATCAAAGAAAGAAAAAAAGAAATAATTATTGTAATAATTTCCATCAAAAAAAACAATACACTACAGTTGTAAGTGGCAAGTGTTGAACTACTTAAGTGAAACGAGTGTAATTGAAATTGCAAACTGAAATTAAGCATCATTCAGAAGATTTATAACTCATTAACGTATCTCTTTGAGTCCTTAAATATTTTAATATATAGTGAAAGTATCTTTCATTTTTGTATGATATTTAAAGAGATGGGAGGTGTAGTGGGTTGGACTTAGAGATAGGTAAGAAGTAAACCTTCTTTGGCAGTCACAAGTACAGTGTAGCTGCATGGATGTAAACCTCAAAACATAACTTTTCTTAAAGTGCACCTAACCCCCAAAATTTTTTTTTCGCTAAAACGAATCCACTTGTTATTTGAAGCATTTGGGCGAAAAAATTTTTGAATTTGGCTGAATCCTCGATTTGCTATGCCCTTTCAAAGTCGCACTTGAAGTGTTACACGACCGAGTTTCAGGGAGTCTGGGGCGGCAGTTGCTGATGACGTCTACCCAGGAACCAAACACAATGGCGCCTCAGTCAGCTCTCTGTATTTGCTTGAGAAAATGGAAACAAAACTAATCGTTCCAATATATTTTGGGACTAAAACATCCAAGTTTTGTTTCAGAATCATTTGTTTTTCGTCACTGGAGTCAGAG